TGTCTCAATGTGAGAGACATTTTCTATAGAAAAGCTGTCTTAAAACAAGAAACGTGATCTATATAAATGTTGTCTCACACTAAGAGACATTTCTATAGAAAAGTTGTCACAAAGTTAGACACATTTTCTATAGAAAAGTTGTCTCAAAGTGAGAGACATTTTCTGCAAAAAATTTGTCCCATTTCTATAGAAACATTGTCTCAAATTGAGAGACGTTTTCTATAGAAAAGTTGTCTCAAAGTAAGAGACATTTTCTATATTAAAGTTGTCTGAAAATCAGAGACATTTTCTATAGAAAAGTTGTCACAAAGTAAACGACATTTTCTATAGAAAAGTTTTCTCAAATTGAGAGAAATTTTCTATAGAAAAGTAATCACAAAGTAAGAAATTTTCCATAGAAATATCTCAAAGATAGAGAGAGACATTTCTTATAGAAAAGTTGTCTCAAAATGAGAGGCATTTTCTATAGAAAAGCTGGCTCAAAATAAGATTCATTTTCTATAGAAAAGTTGTCTCAAAGTGAAAGAAATTTCTTTAGAAAAATTGTCTCAAATTGAGAGACATTTTCTATAGAGAAACTGGCTCAAATAAGATAAATTTTATACAGAAAACTTTCCTCAGGGAGGGAAACAGTTAAAATAGAATAGTTGTGCCCTACTGAATTACTTGTTATAAAGACATCTTGTCCCAACGAAAAGTTGTACCATTGTATGAGAAATTTCCTATAGAAAGATTGTCTCAGGTTGAGGAAAACTTAAACTTTTTTAAAAGTAAGAGATAGTTGTCTCTTTGTGAGAGAAATATTTCTTTAAAAATTTTTCTCTAGAAATCTAGTCTCATTAAGAGGGAAATTTTCTAAATAAAACTTGTTTCATTATGAGAGAAGAAAACTGTTTCATTATAAGGGACACTTTCTATAGAAAACTTGTCTTAGTATAAGAGAATTGTTGTATAGACATATTCTAAAGAAATCTGGATTCATTACAAGATTAAATTTCTCAAAAACTTATCTCAATATGAGAAAATATCTTCATAAAAATATCTCATTATGAAAATTGTTCTTAAAACTTTTCATAAACTTTCTGCTTTAAAATGTCTTTTAAAATCTTTGTTCAAATATTTGTAAAATATTTTCCCTTTTTTTCATTTATTTTATTAAAAAAAGTTGACGTTAACTTTTTGATTTGTATCTAAAATGTAAATTTCTTTAGCTTTAATTTGTTAGTGGATTTTCTCAAGGAAATTTTCAACATTTAAATAAATTCCCAAAGAGCATCTTCATTAACATTTTAAAGTGAACCCCCCCTCGTCATTGATTATGAAATATTTTTAGTCTTGGTAACAGCAACAAACAAACAAATAAAAAACTAAAATTAGCATTTTAATATTTAGTTTGAAAACATCTGCTTTATCAATAAATTTGAATAGTTGAATAAAATTTAAAAATATATATATAAATTTTAATATAATATTAATATGAGGCCTTAGGAAAACTAATTAGTTTAGTAATCGGTAAAGAAATAAATTTGATAAAAATGCAGTGACTTTTAAAAGACATTTTTTAAAACTCTTATACATATGATTCATATGCTTATGGATGAATTAGAACATCAACAAAGGAATCATATTGAAAATTTTCGAGAATATTCCAAGAACTTGTTTTGTTACTCTTTAATAACTTAAGTTGGATTAAAGATCTTTAATGCAATTTCTAAATTTCGCTAGAATTTTAAATTAAATTTAAGATTACAACTTTTTCGTGAATATTCCAAGAACTTTTTAAAGTTTTTTTTCAAAAACTGTGGTCTATTTTTAGGCTGTTTTGATTTGTGCTGAACACTTTGCTTTAAATCAATTTCTTGTTTTTATATTTCAATTAGATTTTTATATCCTTTATTGTTAAGTAATTTTCTGCTAACTCATCATGATTTATGATTTTCAGGTTGATAACTGGCATTACTAATATTTTATTAACATGAAATTCTTTAAATCATTCTAATTTGTTTTTAGCAAAAAATACAAAAAAAAAAAACAACATGATTCACGTTTTCCAAGAACATTTAGTGGAGGTCAAGAACAAGCTCTTTTTTTGTTGTTGTTAAGATGTGCAAAATATAATTTGTTGGATGGGTATTTCCAAATGAGAATTAATGCCATAAAAAATTAAATAAAAAATTACGTGCCTTAAATTTTTTATGAAAAATAATTTACAAAAAAATAAACCTGTTAAAAGAATATTGAAAAAAATTGCAGAATAAAATAAAAATTTTTTGAAATTTGTAATAAAATTAAGTTAGATTTGATAAAGAAAGTTATTAAGGAATCAAGCAGTGTTAAAATGAAATTAAATGTTTATTTGGAATCTTTTTAAAATGATTAAAATATTTTTAAATATAAAAATAAGAAAGGTCAAAGGTTATTAGAAATTGAAAATAATATAACTCAAAATGTATATGGGTTATGCTTGAAAAACAAATTACTTTTGGTAGCTTAAAGTCTTTCCTTAAAATATGAAAAATTTAAAACTGAATTCTTTTTTATTTTCAGAGTTATGGACCTAAATGTATTTTATCAAAATAATCTTGATTGTAAACTTTGAATCCAAATTAAATGTTCCATTGCTAGCGCAAAAGTCTTTTAATAATATTAAATGATAAAAAGGTTTTAAAACTGTTTTGTTTTTGTTTAAAATTGAATTCATTTTCCAAATGGTCTAATTTATGGAAATTAGATTTCTGTAAACTGTTAAAACTTTTTGCAGAAAAACACGGGCACATTCCTCATCCAAACGTTGAATTCCCGATGAAATGACTGAGTTTGTGTAGAAGTTTGGGTTTGGAAACTGGTAAATGTCTAAAAGTTTGAATTGTAAAAAGCACCTTCTTTTGTAGAAAACAAAGAAGTAATTAGTACTCATATATTTCACAAGTACCCTGATGTTAGATCTAACTAAATTACAGACTAAAATATATAACATACTACTGATTAAACTCGACCATGGATCTGATTATAGACCCCACAATAGACCAGGCTGTAGACTCAAGGCTTGACTATCCTATAGACTAGACTATAGACTAGCCTATGGACTAGATTATAGACAAGACTATAGACTAGAATATAGACTACACTATAGACTAGGTTATAGACTAGACTATAATCTAGAATATAAACTGGACTATAGACCAGAATATAGAATAGATTATAGACTTGGCTACAGGCTAGACTAGTCTATAGACTATAGACTAGATTACAGGCTTGACTATAGACTAGACTAGACTATAAACTAGAGTGCTAACTAGACTATAGACTGTACTATAGACTAGACCAGTGTATAGACTAGACCATAGACTATAGTCTATAGACAAGATTATAGACCATACTGCTGAATAAAATAGACCCTGGACCAGATTGTAGACCCCACCATACACTAGACTGCAGACTAGAATGTAGACTCAACTATAGAATAGATTATATGGTATAGACCAGCCTATAGGCTAGACCATAGACTAGACTATAGACTAAATTATAGACAAGACTAGAATATCGACTAGAATATAGACTACACTACAGACTAGGCTATAGACTAGACTATGGACTAGCTTATAAACAAGACCATAGACTAGATTATCGACTAGAATATAGACCACACTATAGACTAAGCTATAGACTAGTCTATATACAAGACTATAGACAAAACTGTAGACAAGACTAAAGGCTAGAATATAGACCAGAATATAAAGTAGACTATAGACTAGACCGTAGACTCGACTGTTGACTCGACTATAGATTAGACTATAGACAAGACAACCATGGACCAGATTTTGGACCCCACCATAGACTAGACGCTAGACTAGACTGTAGACACGACTATTAACTCGACTATAGACTAGAGCAGACTATAGACTAGACTATTCTATAGACTAGACAATAGAGTATAGACTACCTTATAGACTAGAATATAGACAAGACTAGCATATCGACTAGAATATGGACTACACTACAGACTAGGCTATAGACTGGACTATAGACTAGATTATAGACAAGACTATAGACTAGACTATAGACAAGAATATAAACTAGTCTATAGACCAGTCTATAGGCTAGACTATAGACCAGTCTATAGGCTAGACTATAGACCAGTCTATAGGCTAGATTATAGAGCACACCATAGACTAGACTATAGACTCGACTACTGACTGGACCATAGACTAGAGCAGACTCTAGACTATTCTATAGACTAAACTATAGACTAGCCTATAGTCTATACTATAGACTAGATTATAGATAAGACTATAAACTAGAATATAGACTACACTATAGACTAGGCTATTGACTAGACTAGAGGCAAAACTATAGATTCGACTATAGACTAGAATATAAACTTAACTATGGACTAAAGAATAGAATAGAGTATAGACTAGACCAAAGACTAAACTATAGACTTAAATTATATAAACTTTATAAAGATAGTCTTAAGCTTTCTGAAAATAATATTAATATTCTTCTTGTTTAACTAGAACTATAGCTTTTTTGACGTCAAACTAGACAACATTTCATTAATAAAAAAATTTTATTTTTAAATTTTGAACTTGTTCTTTAACTTATTTTTAAACTTTTTTCCATAAACATCGTTCCTTTAGATGCATTAAACTAAAAATCATTTAAAAATTCGTTTAAATATAAAACATACTAAATCATAAAATTATTTTTTTTTTTTTTAACAGCAAACAATAAAATTTTATTGTTTATGTTTTTCATAAAAAAATATTTCCATTCGCTTTAATTTTATTAAATTAACAAATGTTAATCAACTTATTAGGACATAAAATTCAATTTATTAATACAAACAATAAAACTTAACAAAAGACTTAAGCGGCAAACGTTCTCATAAATTCCCCGATAAAGTTTGTTGCTTAAGTCTTTTGTTTTCAACAGACAAAATATTGTTATAATAAATACTGAATCATTCTAGATTAAATATTATAAAGAGAAACACTTACCATAAAATTAATCCAATTAGAAATTGTTGTTTTTCCATGATGTTGTTGTTGTATTTATAAAACTAAATTCGTTAAAATGTCCACTACGAAATCCTTAAACAGGATATTTATAAATATATATAGTAAAACTATGACTTTTTTGTTGTAGTTATGCTAATAAATTAACTTAGTTTGTTTTTTTTTAATAAATTATAAATTATAAAAAAATTTGGCACTTTTGCTTTCTACAGGTTTATTAACAGGAAACACTTTTAATGTAAATAAATTCTTTTGCTCAATTCGTATTTTTTTAAAACACAAAAATTAAAGTTAGATTTCAAACACTTTTTGCTTTCAATATATATTTTTTATAATTTTTCTTTTACAAGCATTTAAATGTTATATAAATTTTTGTTTTTTTTAGTTATTTTTGTCGTTATAGATACGTCTTGCCAAATAGATAATAACCGATTAAATATATTTTATATTTGAGCCTTTCGCCGTTTAGCATAACGTACATGTGTTAAATACAAACATTGATTCGAATTCAAATACTTCAGGTATTTAAAGGATTCGTAAGCCAGCGCGAAATATTAACACAAACACGTCTTGTTGTAAAATTATTTAATACACCGAACAAAAAACAACACACAAAAATTCAAAATCTTTATATTTTTCAAGAAATAAATGAGAGAAACTGCGCGCACGCGTGCTAACTGCAGCAAGCGCTAAAACAATCTGTAAGCTTAACGAAAGTTAAGCGAGCGCAAAAGTGCAAAGTTGATGACAAAATACACACATACAGTCTAAGACCAACACGCACTTATACCAATACAATTGATAAAATAATAAAGAAAAAAAAAAAGCACCACACAACAAACTGTATCTGTAAGTTAAAGCAGACTTAACTAGTTTTTGTTTGTGTGTTTTGTATTTGTTTTTTTGGTTTTCTTTACCAGCTTAGATTTCGTTTTCGTTTGTTTTTTTTTGACGCGCACGTACACTGCTCAAGCTTACTCAGCCACTGCTGCTGCTCACACAACTACACAAACTCTAAAGCACTTTTGGCTTAAACAAGTAAAATAAATAAATAAACACTAGTTTACGAAATACTCAAAAAATCAAAAAAAAAAAAAAAAAAAACACACAAAAATTATTAACAAAAAGGCAGACAAAAAATACAAAAGAAATAATAAATAAAAAACACAATCTGCCGTGTCTACCACCACGCGTTCGATGACTTTTTTTGTCTTTGCTGGCTCAATATAAAACTCTATCTGAAAAGCCCAGAGTGAACGTCTAGCGTTTTTAATACAAAAACACGAAAAGTGCAGCAATCTATAAACATTCGCTCGTACTTTGTTGCCTCTTTGTAATTAATATCTCTATGGGTGTCGGTTTTTGTGTGTTTGAGTTTTTTTTTGTAGAAGTATAGGTTTGGAAACCGGTAAATGTCTAAAAGTTTGAATTGTAAAAAGCACCTTTTTTTTCGTAGAAAACCCAGAAGTAATTAGTACTCTTTTATTTCACAAGTACCCTACTGTTTGACTATAGATCTGTATAGATTATAGACCTACATTTAGAACATATTTTAGACTAAACTATTGGAACTGATTAAAGACCACACCACAGATCACACAATAGAATAGACTATAAACTAGACTAAATACTAGAATATAGACTAGCCTACTGACTACACTATACACTAGACTATACTTTAAAATAGACTAAAGAATAGACTATACAATAGACTATCGACTAGACTATAGACTATACTATAGAATAGACAGACCATAGAATAGACCATAGAACAGAATATATGTAGACCAGACTAGAGACTAGACTATAGACTAGACTATAGACTACACTATAGACTAGACTATAGGATAGACTATGAAATAGACTATAGACTAGACTATAGACTAGACTATAGACTAGAATATAGACTAGACTATAGACTAGACTAGAGACTAGACTATAGACTAGACCATAGACTACACTATAGACTAGACTATAGGCTAGACTATGAAATAGACTATAGACTAGACTATAGACAAGAATATAGACTAGACTATAGACTAGACTATAAACTAGACTAGAGACTAGACTATAGACTATACTATAGTATATACTATAGAAGACTCTAAATAGACTATCGATTGGACTATATTATAGAATAGACTATAGAATAGACCGTAGAATAGACTATAGACAAGACTATAGACTAAACTATAGACTAGACTATAGACTAGACTATAGACTAGACTATAGACTAGACTATAGACTAGACTTAGACTAGACTTTAGACTAGACTATAGACTAGACTATAGACTAGACTATAGACTAGACTATACTTAGACTACTTAGACTAGACTATAGACTAGACTAATAGACTAGACTATAGACTAGACTATAGACTAGACTATAGACTAGACTATAGACTAGACTATAGACTAGACTATAGACTAGACTATAGACTAGACTATAGACTAGACTATAGACTAGACTATAGACTAGACTATAGACTAGACTATAGACTAGACTATAGACTAGACTATAGACTAGACTATAGACTAGACTATAGACTAGACTATAGACTAGACTATAGACTAGACTATAGACTAGACTATAGACTAGACTATAGACTAGACTATAGACTAGACTATAGACTAGACTATAGACTAGACTATAGACTAGACTATAGACTAGACTATAGCTAGACTATAGACTAGACTATAGACTAGACTATAGACTAGACTATAGACTAGACTATAGACTAGACTATAGACTAGACTATAGACTAGACTATAGACCTAACTATAGACTAGAATTAGACTATAGACTAGACTATAGACTAGACTATAGACTAGACTATAGACTAGACTATAGACTAGACTATAGACTAGACTATAGACTAGACTATAGACTAGACTATAGACTAGACTATAGACTAGACTATAGACTAGACTATAGACTAGACTATAGACTAGACTATAGACTAGACTATAGACTAGACTATAGACTAGACTATAGACTAGACTATAGACTAGACTATAGACTAGACTATAGACTAGACTATAGACTAGACTATAGACTAGACTATAGACTAGACTATAGACTAGACTATAGACTAGACTATAGACTAGACTATAGACTAGACTATAGACTAGACTAGACTATAGACTAGACTATAGACTAGACTATAGACTAGACTATAGACTAGACTATAGACTAGACTATAGACTAGACTATAGACTAGACTATAGACTAGACTATAGACTAGACTATAGACTAGACTATAGACTAGACTATAGACTAGACTATAGACTAGACTAAGACTAGACTAGACTAGACTAGACTATAGACTAGACTATAGACTAGACTATAGACTAGACTATAGACTAGACTATAGACTAGACTATAGACTAGACTATAGACTAGACTATAGACTAGACTATAGACTAGACTATAGACTAGACTATAGACTAGACTATAGACTAGACTATAGACTAGACTATAGACTAGACTATAGACTAGACTATAGACTAGACTATAGACTAGACTATAGACTAGACTATAGACTAGACTATAGACTAGACTATAGACTAGACTATAGACTAGACTATAGACTAGACTATAGACTAGACTATAGACTAGACTATAGACTAGACTATAGACTAGACTATAGACTAACTATAGACTAGACTATAGACTAGACTATAGACTAGACTATAGACTAGACAGACTATAGACTAGACTATAGACTAGACTATAGACTAGACTATAGACTAGACTATAGACTAGACTATAGACTAGACTATAGACTAGACTATAGACTAGACTATAGACTAGACTATAGACTAGACTATAGACTAGACTATAGACTAGACTAGACTATAGACTAGACTATAGACTAGACTATAGACTAGACTATAGACTAGACTATAGACTAGACTATAGACTAGACTATAGACTAGACTATAGACTAGACTATTGACTAGACTATAGACTAGACTATAGACTAGACTATAGACTAGACTATAGACTAGACTATAGACTAGACTATAGACTAGACTATAGACTAGACTATAGACTAGACTATAGACTAGACTATAGACTAGACTATAGACTAGACTATAGACTAGACTATAGACTAGACTATAGACTAGACTATAGACTAGACTATAGACTAGACTATAGACTAGACTATAGACTAGACTATAGACTAGACTATAGACTAGACTATAGACTAGACTATAGACTAGACTATAGACTAGACTATAGACTAGACTATAGACTAGACTATAGACTAGACTATAGACTAGACTATAGACTAGACTATAGACTAGACTATAGACTAGACTATAGACTAGACTATAGACTAGACTATAGACTAGACTATAGATTATAGACTAAAGTACTTTTGTAAAATTACTTTTCTTTTCCCGATTAACTATAGTCTATAATTTAGTCTATAGTCTAGTATATTTCCTTGTCTATGGTCTAGTCTATTGCTTAGTATATAGTCTAGTCGGTAGCCTAGTTTATAGTCTAGTCTATAGTCTAGAACCAAAGCCTGGTCTATTGTTCTAGAACTATAAAAAACAACAATTTTAAAAATTGCTATTTAAAAATTATTGCTCGTATAATTTGATGTTTAAAGAGTATGGCATTTTTTTAATAATTTTTAAAAGTTAACAAAATCTATTTATATTTTTACAATTTTAGAATAACTTATAATAGCAAATATTTTGATTTATGGTTTCATTATAATAAATCATTAAGATAAGAAACTTTTGTAAAAGTACTTTATTTTTTTTCAATAAAATAAATTAGTATTTTTCAGAAATAAACAGAAATAATTAATTTTTTATTATTAAATAGCCACAAAAATTTTTAAAATTTTAATTACAGCAAAAAATAAAAACTCATTTAAAAAAGCGCATCTTATTGTCGTCTTTGACAAATATTAATTACAAAAAATTGTTAAAAATAAAACTCAAAAGCTTCTAAAAAAAAATTTGCGCTCTCAAACTAATTTTGCAATGTGAGTAAAAAAGATAAAAAAGTAATAAAAATAAGAAGAAAATAAAAACAAAAAAACACTACAAAAAGTTGTTTAAGTCTTTTCAAGATAAGAAACCATGTGCTCAATTATCTAAATGCAACTTGAAATTTGTTGCTGCTGCCACTACTAACATCGAAATATTTGAAAAACTTAAGAAAAAATCTTAGACAAAAATCAAAAGAAAAAATAAATAAACAAAGATAAAATTGAAATTACACAGAGAAAGTGTGAAAAAACAGACAGCAGCAGCCTTTAGTCTACAACAAAAAAAAGCTTTGAATAGCTGGGCCTCTTAAAATCGAAAATGTACCATAACAACAACAACAACAGAAAACTTGTAAAAATTTTAAGTTCGAAAAAAAAACTATAGAAGTAACAAGAAGATAAACATACAAAAATTGCAAAAAGATATTAAAGTCAAATGAAAGTAAAACCAGGTCAATATACGCACCTTAATATTTTTTAAAGTTTGTATGATTTTTTGTCTGCTTTTTGCGTTTAACAAAGTTTATATTTATTATTTTTTGCATAATTTTACAAATACAAAGTTGTAAAAACATTTTATGCACATTTCAGTTGAGTTTTTGTTGTTTTGTTGTTTTTCTTTCAGAGATTTTTCATAAAGTTTATTTTTGTATGTCTGGATTTTTTCTTATTTTTTTTGTGAAAGGCATCACGCGCTTTTTTTGAGTCAATATTTAATTTTGGGACAGTTTGCGTTTTTTATTTACTTTTAATTTATTTTTTTTACAAAAGGCGTTAACTGAACAAAAATCTCTAGCAAATTTTTATGTTTCTCCAATTTTCATATTTTTTTTTTCGATTTGATGATTGTCATTTAAATATGTGAGTTTTTTTATTGCTGTTTTATTTTTTTGCGAAGGCATTGTTTACAAAACAGAACGTAGGTTGGGTGAGAAATTTGTTACAAAAGAAATTTTATAGTGCAGTATCATGCAGACTTACTATAGTCCTCACTAGGGCTTACTGTACTACAGACTAGACTACTTCATAATTCTAACTGTAGGGTATAGTCTAGGCTATAGTCTA